TGTATTCCGTAGCATGGCAAAGATCTCTGAGTGTGCGCTTACATTAGCTGTCCACTGTGCAGGAACCATCAGTGGTGTCAGTTGGGTTGATGTGAATCCTGTTTGGGAATAGTGAAATATACCTACACAGCTGTGGGTAAATGTGTGTGTGAGTGTTTGTGTGCATGTGTGTGTGTTTTGAGCAAGGAAAAAGGGGGGAAGTGGGTGGTATTCAGCCGTGACTAATGGAAACACACAGAGGAGGGTGCTGCTAAATTGTTAAATCGATGCCACTTCCACCTCGGCTCCAGATATAGCTGCAATCAGCGATGCGTCCCTTTTCATTAGGGGGCTTTTGACTTTGTCAACCTGGGACTGCAAGAAAATCCACCACGCACAAAATGCTTCATAAAACCTCTTAAGTAATTTTGAGTAAGTGTCACATCTTTATCCACTTCAGTGAGCTTTTCATACAACCCGTAATAAAAAAACAGCATTGAAACAAACAGAGAAATAAGACTGGCATCATTAGGCCTAAATGATTTATAAAAAATAAATCCCCATCAACTTCAATTATTAAAGAAAACTTCACAAAATTAGCACTTTAACCAACACTTTCTGAAACAAAGCACAACAGGAAACAGTGAGAAGTTGTTGTTTTTTTTTCACCCCCCATCTTTTCCTGCTGTTTTCGATTTAGGAACAGTGATAAAGTATTTATCAGAACAGAGGAGGGATCTTCCTGGGCTTTGTATGGAATTAACCATTTCAGATTAAATAATTCAGGAAGAATTCAACCGAGAATTTCATTCTGTTTCTGCCTCATAAATAAGTCAGATTTAAGATGATAAATAATGACATCTGACTTCTTATTTCGGTAAAGTTTTCTTTCTTCCTCTCGCTGTCCGACAGGATCTCAGTGTGGCTTACTGCAGATATATTTGTCATGTTTTGGCTCAATTCCTTTCCCTTTTCTATATAGGTTAAATGTACTTATATTGATACAATTTTGTTTTCTTTTAACAAAAATCTTGAGGGTGGATTTCGCATCAAAGGAGGAGGTTGTGGTGTCATGAAGGATGTGGAACGGCACTCAGATAAGAGATTGACCTGGTGCTGAGTGGGGTTAAGAGATATAAGGTTAGATGTGTTCTCACCTCTGGCTGTTTCAGACATGACTTGTCTCTTGGGCAAAACTGCAAAAGTGCATATACTGTAAATACACTGCAATCCACTGAGAAGCACTAAATCACACCTAACCTCTGGCTTTTAAAATAATAATTAGTAACATGAAAAACCCTCAAATCTATATGGGTTTTATGTGCAATCGTGTAAGTATTTAACTTTAAGTTTCCATTTTATCAATAATCTACCACATATTTTTCAATAGATTTCCATGTTGAAGTCAGATTGAGTTTGAAGAGAAATACAAAATGTTCAATAAAAGTTTTGAGGCACTCTTGGGAAGTTGGGAAGCTAAAAGACATTTAAATATTATGACGCATTTTCCGATTTCCAGATTTTAGAAAAAATGTAAGTCTGACATTCATTCTCATTTTAGTTCAATTTTTAACGGCAACTAACTTGCTTTCAAGCTCCTACAGTATATGTTCCAAAGTTGTGTAAAAAAGACGGCATGAATGTCAAAATTAGGGAATTTCTTTAAACAAGTATAGAATTATGATGCAAAATACTGTAAAACTTAGACCAAGACAGATTTTTGGCTGGCAATTAACATGTTTCTTGGTGAGATGAACCCTCAATTCTCTCTTTTTACCTCCACATTCTTCCTCCACTGACAGCTGACACTTTATTGCCTCTTTATTCCTCATCCTTACCATCACCCATTTTCTTCCTCTTTTCCTTCACCCCACATCTCATTCCCCCTCCTCCATACCCTCCCACCCCCTTTGCCTCTCCCTTTCTCCTCCCCTCACCTCTGTCTGCTATCCACACACAAGCAAGACACTCAGCAGCCACTCTGACACGAAGGCCTGCTCTCTGGTCCATATAATGTGATTAAGCCTCAGTGTGTTGCTTTACAGGTCGGAGGGTGTAAGAGCCACTGTTTACTTGTCTGGCTCACACCACCAGGCATTGTGTGGCCTAAGGGAGAATTGACACAGAGTATAGGGGTGATAGGCAAAGGGCACTCAAAAAAAGTTTTCTTTCAATGAATTGTTCAAACTACTCATCCTATACTCTGTGGCCCTTTTTCGTGACTGAAAAGTCTGAAGGAATGTCTGCACAGGAAGTATTGACAACTTCAAATTACTCCTCTATGCACCCTCCGTCTGACACCTATTTCCTTTCAACACTGTCTGAGCCTCCCTGGCACACTCGCACACACACTCTGGCATACATATACACACAGTTCTAAGTCTCTTGCGTCTTGTCACACACACTTTGGTTTCCCGGGGCTATCAAAGTGCTGAGTGCAAACTCTCTCCTCCAAAACCTGTCACATGTCGCCAGAGGTGTCTCGCTCCCCGCGGTAACCCTCTGAGCTCCTGGCACAAGTACAAGTCATTATTTCCATGGTAAAGGTCAGAAGCTGTGTCACCTGACTCTGAAGTGGAGCTGAGTGGAGACGCCCCGAGACAACGACCAAAGGTCAGTTTCCTGTTGGCTTCTCATACAGTAAGGATAGATGTGAGGAGGACAGGGCTGATCCCAGATCTGCGTGCGAGCCCCTTTGGTCACAGTGGCTTCTAAACGAGGAGGTTCAGATAATTGGCTGCAGGGAGCTCCATAATGAGCCTGAGGGTCTGTAATGTGACACATCTTCAAGGAGACATATTTTAATAGGGCAATTACGGCGTCAAGGAGGATGTTTTGTGTAGAGTGAGTGATTGTTGTGGAGGGGCGCTGTGTTAAGAAATTCAATGGCATTTAACTCCATTATCTATCGTGTGGCTCACCAGTGAGGAGACTTTAAATATCATTACAGTCTTATCTTTGAATGGACTGAACAAACAGTGCAGGTCATATTAGGGTTAAAGGGACAGTTCACCCCAAATCACAAATGTATTTTTCTTCTCTTGTAGTTTTATTTCTCTATCTAAAATGTATTTTGTTGGAAATATGGCCTGAGAGATGTTTGCATTCTCTCCGATATAATCAAACATCACTCAGCTTGTGGAGCTGAAATTGCATTTCCAGAAATCACAACTTGTTTAATCAAGATAATCAACAAACTTGGTGTGAGCAGTTTCATGTAGGAACTATTTTCTTTATACAGAACGACACCCGACAGTTGGATTCACCCGCAGAAGGAAGCCTGCATTTCCTCAGCTAGCTAAAGCTCATTTGAGGGAAAAGCCATTACATTTTACATATTGCGCTTTCAAGAAAACAAGCATCTTGTCCATGAGTAGATGCACATTTCCTGCATGGGCTATGATACGATTGCTGTGTGTAGTTTGGTAGAAAGAAAATAGTGACTACAATAAACTGGTCACCACGAGTCTAGGGTTATGATTTCTGAGAAAAGAGACATTGATGGTGAGTTCTTCGAATATTTATTTGGCACTTTGAATACTGTAAGACAAATGCCATTTAGTACCATTATATTGGATAACAATCTCTATGGAAGACAACACCATTTTTTATTTAGGGTGAACTGTCCCTTTAAGAGTTGTATTTGCAATTATATCTCATTATGCTGAAAGAAAGTGTGTAACTGGATGTAGACCCCTGCGGTGATTTGACAGTTTAAGGTTGAACCCATGAATGAGTCTGTGTGCAAATTGTTTGAATCAAATTTGATAATCTGGAGTTACTTGACGATGTAAAAGAATATTTTATTATGCCGGCTGATGCATTTAAGAGCAGTGAATAATTAAACAGGGCGGTTAAATCCAGCACAAAAACACTGCACTGTTTAATTCAGCACAATTCATATGCTCAGTTTCATCTGAAGATTTTGCCCCGGGCAATGCCTCCAACTCAACCAACCACCACCTCTGAACCACTCAGACCTACCAACCGCAAGACCGACCAGTCAGCTCTCTGACATGGACCCGGCTCGCCTGCCTCATTTTAACAATGCACCTCTCTCCCCTTCAATCATCCAAAGTGGTCTGACTACAGATGAGGTTAACTACAGCATAAGCCTCACTTCCAGGAGTCACCAGGGCCAATTATGTCAGCCTGACTACTCTTCCCAACCTGCGCTCCATGGTGTGGAAAATGCAGTTCCACTGGCTGCATCACTGGGGACAGAACAGGCCAGTGCTGTCTGGAGCCGGAGCCAAGCGAAGGCCAATTTGGCATGCAGAGGTCTATGGAGAATAGGCCCGATGAAATATATATATGATCTTCTTCAAACATGTATTGTTCCGCGCTGCTGTGTCTTATCAGGCTGGCTCCCTCCTGATGTCCTCCAGGCTTGGCAGAGCAAGACTCTACATCGCAGATTGTGTGGGACCGATGCACAAGGAATGCTAAAGTTCTCTCAGTGCATCTTACAGTAAACAGTAGAGAAGAGCCATATGTCTTGCCTGCTTATTGGTTAAGTTCAAAGCAATGCAATCAAGTTATTCAGGTGTCCAAAAGGTAAAAAATAAATGAATCCCATCATTCAAAAAACAATGGAGCAGATTTGTTTAAAGGTGCAGTGCAACTTTCATCCAATATTATTTTATTTCAGAGCAATTAAGTTATTTTGCACAGAAACCTTTTTAAAACAAAAAGCTTTGGTTTGTGCTTTAGAAAACTATTAATTTTATTTCTGTACAAAGCAGCCTTTCACTGTCTTTCTAGTACCAGACCAATCTCATCTGCAGGACACTGCTGACCTCTGCCTGTCAAATGTGGAACTTCATCTGGCAATTTAACTAGATAACTAACTCAGTATCCCAGAATTCCTCACTGCACAGCCTGCCCAATGGAATTGGGGACATCAAGTCAAAAAAGAAACCCCTTAAAGACATATTTGTACATATCACCTTTTTCAACGGACGCATGGTTCACATACAGCATAGATTTCATGATTAAAAAGAATCCCCTCTCAGACAGACACACGTACAACATATCATTTATTAACCAATATGGCAATTTAAACAGAGAAACAAAGCTGAGGAAATGTTTCAGTGATGATGCTTATGCTTGAATTGTAATCCACAGTAGCCACATGTGCCCACTTTTGTGTCTTTATCCTGGAGAAAGAGAGACAAACATGATAGTTATAAATTGGGACATTTGCTAAACCTGCCATTAATGTGATAAAGGAAATATTGAAGATATATAAAATACAACGAAAATGTTACAGTAAAACCGTTTTCGGTCTTCAGATATCACAGCGTAACAATGCGTGGATCACTGGGTTCCTGCACTTCACTGTAACCCTGCCATCTCACTAAATATTGTATAATAGTCTCTCAATTATTGGACTAGATCTCAAGTATCCCTATTTAATAAATACAAGTGCACTTTAGCTACATTGAACCCTTCAATCTGATCCACAAAAACCAAGTATTGATTGTTGGTTAACTAACAATAAATAGCCACCATGATATATCATTTCTGATAAAATGCACTGGTACAACTTATCATGTTTTGTCAAAATGGACAATTCGACCACTTTAAATCATTTCATGATACAAGTAGCAGGCTCTTACCAGGTTGATGTAGACTTTGGGATGGCCCAGGGCTCCTCCACCTCCATCACAGGACACCACCCTGGCCTCAACTTCAGTCACTGGCTCCTCCGCCACCAACTTGATGGCAAAGTTTGCATTCACCTAGACCCAAAGAATGTGATTTTTGTCATTATTGGCTTAATAAAAAACAGGAAACGGAGAAAGTATAATGCTCTGATTATGAGTATCCTCTGTGCACACCATATACTTATTGTGTTGTGTGCACATAGTTTTAATAGAGTACACTTGTATATTGTGTTTACCTTTATGTGCTGAACTTTCTTTTGTAGTAGTCGTTTGAGCATTGTATGGTGAAATGCGGCGCAGTAATGGACTCAAGAACATGATGCCATTGTTTGACAATATTTATATAATGTAAGATACAATACAAAAGTTTGCACATGTGAGGATTTATCAGAGGTGCACACACCAGCAGTGGGGCACATTGACAGGCTCGTTGTTTCTTGTCATTATAGCTCAAACATCGAATATACATATTTTTTAAGTTAGTTTTTCATTGCTTCTCTTACCTCTTTCTGCCTGCCAACGAATCTTGCCCTCCTGGGATCCTTTTCATCAAACACCTGAGAGAAAAACACTGAACATTAGAGAAGAAGACAACAGCGGCACATCATGTTTCATATCTTATATTTAGCTCTAGATATGGGTGGGTTCATTTTCTTACTCTATATTTTGCTAGCTGAGACAAGGTGTCATTGCCTAAGCTGTCATTAAAACACGAACATATGTTGAATCACTGTGTATACGTTTTCTAACAAACAAAGGCCGATTTAAAAATGGTAAAGGAAAACGTTAAGGGTCAATATGAAGTGCTGTCCGATTACGGAATTAACGTTAGCTAACATTGACACAATGCTAAGCTAACGTAGGGACACCAAGTAAAAGCAATACATACGAATATGTTTTAAGCTTACCTGTCCCGTGTGAGTAATGGCCTCGCCGGTAGTGGCAAATTCGACGCTGTAGCGATGAACAGGGACAGCAGAAAGCCTCAAAGGTGAAACAAGCACCTTTGCATTTCTACTGAAGGACAGAACTCTCCCCATTGCGGCCGCCATGTTTACAACTGACTGGTTTCCCAAGCTGCATTGCAGAAAACACTGCTATTGGAATTAACGTGCCCTGAGATTTGCCTGCCAGGCTCAAGACACTTCTGTGTAACACCTACAACAAGCCTTTAAGTTGACTCATTATTCAGCGACATGTGATCAAAGTTAAAAACAAAGACATTATGTATGTTTAATTTGGACAGGAAAGCAAGGTTTCACCAAAGTCAGACAATCAAATTGTCTGAGAGGCCAAACTGAGGGCACTAATGTAGAAAATTAAACCACAAAACGGAAGTAGCTGTATCCTCACAAGCAAGAGCAGCATTACGGTCAAACTGTGGCGATATAAACCCAACATTTAGAGACTTAAAGCACATTTTAAACAACAAAAGGATCCCTGAAAGGTTTGTTTACATCATTTAATTGTTGAGTAAGACTGTGTCATGTCGGGGACTAACATGTGTGCCGTTTTTATATCTTTCTTTCCAATGGCAGGTCAAACCCTGACATGCTGCTCTCCTTGGCATGTCGCTTATTATGGTCGCATAGCTATCCCAGCATCGGGCTCTACTACTATACATTTGTTAAAACTTGTATTTATGTCAGACAGCTCCATGCAAGGCTCCATGTGTAGTTAGTTGCTCATTGTTTTACGAATAAGGCTACGTTTAACCAGTATAAGGTAAGGGTTAGCTGAATTAGTGCAGAGTTGTGACTTTAGCCAATGTTATTACAATAACAAAAAAATAGCTATTTTGCAAACAAACGTCTTAGACACGTTTTGTTCCGAAGGATATTTAACCAGATTAACTCTAACTTTATACCTGCTGAGGCCCGAATTCAAACGCCAGCAGTAAAACACTTAATTCGGCCACCCTTACATCTCAAATGTCATTTAGTTGTCTAGGAAATGTCCCAATACTTGTAGGACTCCACCATTTCTATAATCTGGATATTAATAACTGTACAGATAGGAGAGGAGTGATGATACCTAAACTCAATGCACGTGCCAGTAGTCTTTGACACTGTTTTTCTTGCTGTTATGCAATATTTGACACATCTAAGAAAAACAAGTAAGGGCATTTATTGTTTATTTTTCTCAAATAAGAGTTAGAAAACAATAAAAAAGCAACACTTAAGTCACATCACAACATGACACTAACCAACTCCCAGACTTAAAATATTTTTGTTATGTCACAAAGTCTTGTTTAGCAACTGTAATTTTTATTTTTTTTATTTAGCCTTATTTATACAGGTGTTAAAATCTCATTGAGACACAAGGTCTCATTTGCAAGAGAGACCTGTCAGTGGTAACACTACCACACAAAGTTACAGACAGACAGGACACTAAACACAGAGGCAACACTAAAATACAACACCGTAAAAAAAGTAGTCATTGAAATCCATATACAGTAGTCAGATATACCAGGTGCAAACACCCACAGATGATTTCTCCAGCTTTTTTAAAATTAGTTTAAAATCCGTGATGGGTATCAAACTGGTCAGCTTAAGTTCCTGCTGAAGTGTGTTCCAGGTCGAGGGGGCAGAGTATGATATGGCTTTTTTCCCAAGCACCGTGCGAACTGAGGGGACGGACAGAGTGATGTAATTTTGAGATCGTAGGCTATAGCTGTACTGTTTGTGTGATATGTAAGTGGATATGTAGAGGGGCAGCAGTCCAAGCATAGCGGTATAGATGAGTTTGTACCAGTGCAGTGATCTGCGCATTGATAATGATGTCCAGTTGACTAAAGAGTACAGTGTGCAATGGTGTGTGAGGGGTTTACAGTTGGTTATGAACCTCAGAGCCCCATGGTAGACAGCGTCCAGCAGATGAAGGGAGTGAGCTGAGGCGTTCATGTACACAACATCCCCGTAGTTCAAGAGCGGCAAAAATGTGGCAGCTACAAGCCGTTTCCTCGCACTTGTGGAGAAGCAGGCCTTATTTCTAAAAAAGAATCCCAGTTTTAATTTCAATTTCCTTAAGAGATTGTCAATATGTGGTTTGAAGCAGAGATTGTCATCTATAGTAATGCCTAAGTATCTGTAGGTGTTAACAGCTTCAATGGGGTTATGCTGTGCAGACATGATGCAGGGAAGAACAGTTGGTAACCTTTTCTTATTGGAAAACAACATTACTTTTGTCTTATCTGAAGTTAACACCAACCTAAGGTGGAACAGATGTGACTGAAAAGTGTCAAAAGCAGACTGCAGACGTTCAAATGCAAGGGCAACAGTGCTAGCACAACAGTACACAACAGTATCATCTGCATATAGATGTACAGAGGCATCAATACTTTGACCCACACCATTTATATAAATAGTAAAAAGGGTCGGTCCCAAGACCGAACCTTGAGCACATTAAGAAAGCTTAATGATTTCTCCGTCTCTCTCTGCAGCATGGCGTCCCTCCTCTTGAAGCACCTGGCTTCCTCCCTGACCCGACGGGTGGCCCAGATGAGCCGGTTAAATCTGACCTTCTCTTCACCAGCAGCGAGCGCCTACAGAAGTCTCTGCAGCCTCTCCACAGCTCCACACACGCTCCTCCTGCCGTCGACCAGAGTCAGCTCCATCCAGTGCTGCTCGTCTCCGTGTGGATCCTCTCTGTTGGGACAGTGTCAGCATCTCCCCTGCAGCCAGCCCTCTGCAGGCATGAAGACCAGGTCTGCCCTGAGGAAGCGCTGCAACGACTGTTTCTTTGTCCGGCGGCGGGGGCTTTTGTTTGTTTACTGCAAGACTAACCCGAGACACAAGCAGAGGCAGGCATAACATGATAAAGAAAATTGCTTTAAGATTGTGGGAATTTTGAAAAACTGTGATGTGAAATAAATTGTTTGGCTAAAGACTGTGTGTAGCTCTTTTATCGCCCTTTCTGTAAACCATCATATTCTATCATTTTGGTACATTTTAAAATAGCTATGTTTAATTAAATTACAGTTTTTTTCAATTGCTAAAACAAGTTTTTTGAAAGCAGGGCTTATTTTCTCAAAACACAATTCACAAAACCACACACACAAAGTGCAAAACACCTCCTATATACTGCAAAATGAAGCACTGCACTCAAAACTACATAAACACTGACCGAAACCAAACTTTTGCACCAAATGGCACACACAAGACACTTTGTCCAACCAACTACACACTGTGGTGCTCAATCTAAAGCACACACATTTTGTATGGTGTTCTGTATGTAGAGAATTCTGCATATAAAGATTGTTCAAGTCTACAACAATATGTGCAGGAACACAAATATACTGTTGTTTCTCCAAAACAAATTGGTGCAACATTCATGCACAACACAGTTACAGTTGTGTAAACAAAAATGATGCCTCAAATACAAGGCAAAAAAAAAATACATGTCAAATACAGTACTGTAAATGGAAAGGAAAACTTTGAGGAAAAAGAAATACAAAAAATATTTTTACAAAAAACAGAGGAAAGAAAAGGCTGCATCTCGCCACCTAGCTGGGTCTGGCCACAGCGCCTCTTCCACATGCAGAAGAAGCATGCATCCATTGACCTGACGGTCACACAGTTTCAACCGTTATGCTGCAAATAACTTTATTGCATTTGCTTAATCTTTATCAAATATGTTTTATGGCCAGACAGATTTCTTTTTTTAAATGGAGCCCAAAATGTTCTACCAGGCAGGGGATTCGAACCCACTTTTCATGTGGCCTAGCTGCTTCAACCACTGAGCTATACAGCAGCTTGAGGTTTTCAAATCCGGCAGCACCAACGCCTGGTCTGCCACATGTGGAAGCCCCTCTTTAGTTTCTCACCTGCTGAGAGTAAAATGCTTTAGTGTGCACAAACTAGGGGGGGACGGCAAACACCAGTGTGATTTTGGTGACAGTATGACTATCTTGGACAAAGTTAATATGTGCAGTGTTCTGCAAAAAGTACCAAGTTGAATTGCAAATTGAGTGCAGAGCTGAAAATGTGTTTAGAGTTTTGGAGATTTGAGCTGAGGGTTCACTCTTTGAGTGTGAGATTAAATAATTCTCCTTTATATGTCATTTTAGTGTGTTAGCAACTCTAAAAAACTGTATGAAATGGTAAAGAAAATACCCTTACTAATTAAAACAAACGTACTTTTGTTACATAGCAACATATTTCACAGCATTCATCTGATTATAGCCAATTTGGCTTTAATTATCTAATGTAATTGTAGTTGTTATTTTTAGCCTTTCATGGTTAACAGCCTGTTTTATTTCAGATTCCTTTTCATCATTCCTCCACATGAGGGAGCCAAAGTCTTGGGTTTGGGTAAGAGCTATAAATACAGGATCCAACCATAGACTAAAGGTCCAGCCTGCCATGTAATGCACTCCATCAATTTGACTCCCTTTTTCTAATGACTGTTAATATAAAGGTATCACTCTATGGTCCCTATAAAATAGTCTATGCCCATATCTTTGTAATATTGTGTCTAAAAACGATACATTCTCTTCTGTAAAAAACATATTCTTGAGGTGATAAACAAGTTGTTTCTCCAAAAATGTATAGCCTACTTTTCTATCATTGTATTAATACTGAAAAACAAGAGGAATCACATGAATGCACACAAGGGTATCGAAAAGCTGTAACGTTCAAACTACAGGCATTGAAACCTGACAGGGTTGAAAGGTGTTTGGGAACAAATCGGCCTCGACTGCGGGTCAGTGAGCAGCTAGATTTATGTTAGCAGGTGTCTTTAAAAGAGGTGTACAACGTCAAATATGAGCATTTCAATTTCTGGTTATAAACCAGCCACATTGTACAATGTCAATTGGCCATCTGCAGCTCCCAGAAAGTACAAAGTCAGCTTAAATGGGACAGTTGCTGTTATCTAAAAAATAAAAGACACTGTTCATTGGTGGATCAAGCAGCAGGAAACAAGACTTCAAGTGCAAACTAAATCTCACTGAACCCAAACATCTCAAACACACATTCCACAAAAATCCGTTTTTTATCATTGTGTTACAGTATATGAGTGTGTGCATGTTTGTTATTGACGGCTTAGAAGATTGTTTTAATATTCCAGATGTCAACCCTACTACTTGTTGTGGTTTTCATAGAAAGGATGATATCATATTTGTTTACAATATGAAAAATTGATGGGGTTCGAGGTCAGTACACAGTTGTGAGTTAACAGTGCACCGTCAGTCCATACCGTCTTAACCCCTTATAGTTGTATATTTAATGAGTTCATTTTATCATTCAATTGTTTTTTTTCGGGCCTTTACTTGCATAAGTGACACGTGCATGTGCTTGGGGACGTGCATGTATCTTGTTTTAATAAGTCTTCATTGCCTTCAAAATAAAGGCTCAAACACAACATGCTTACACTACTTGATTTGACTTGTAAGCTTAATGTGTAGACTATTTGAGAATAAAGCACATGTTCCATTTCCCAAATGATATAACCTATTTTAAAGATTAAGCACATCAATTATTTTTAGTATTCATGCTCAACAACATTTAGGGCATTTTAGGGCATTTTAGACTTTATACAAAGATGCACGTACTCAAACTTTTCAAATGAATTGTTATTACTTTTTTATTTCACCGCACGTGTACAGAAGAGGTTTAGGGCCATGGGAGACATTTTATTTTGGAATAATAAAAATGTATTCCGACTTTAATCTCAGAATTCTTGGAAAAATGTAAAATTCCGAGAAAGAAATGTGTTGGAGGAGATAGTGAAGACAATAGTGAAAACTGTGGCAATCCCCAGTATGTATATAAGAAACCACCTTTTGCAAGAGGGTTGTTTGATATGGGAATTCATGTGTGGGGATTACATTTAAAGGGCCCATGTCATGGCCATTTCTACTGATCATAATTCCATTGTTGAGGTCTACTAGAATAGATTTACATTGTGCAATTTTCCAAACTCACATTGGTTTCTCATACAGCATCTCTGTATAGTATGTGTATTCACTGAATGTCACTCTGTCCTAAACGCCTTGTTGGAGCTCCTGCCCCCCCTTTTTTATATATATATTGTCTTTTTATTTATTTATTCTGCAATTATTTGTATTACACTGTATGTTAGGGTTAGGGTCTTTTTTTACTATCATTATGCACTGTTCTTGTGCATAATATTTCCCCAAATATGTCAGACAGTAATACACTACTTTAAAAAAAATGTAAATACATGAAGTAAAACAACTCTGTTGCTGTTTGAGGTTAACAATATTTAAACTACTTAATATAATGTGGGATGCCTACATATATAACAATGCATTATATTATATAAATCTATAATACAATTATTTTTATCTGAATTGGTCCCAGAAAACACAATATTTACTTGAATTATTGTTTTTTGTTTAAAAAACACATTGAACCTGAAAATACAGTTGAGGACACACCTGCAAACTAACCTTCTCTATCAAAACTCCTACTCCATGTTGAATCATATTATGCTGACGTTTATATGGAACATAAGTGACCTTGATATTGAAACATGATTAATATAAACGCAGGGTGATGATGAATGGCTGAACTGTAGGGTGGTGAACATGTGAAATGTTGCTTGGAGAAAACAGAGTTTGTAAATGGGAAGAAGTGTACCAAGAACACAAATATGTCATTATAGTTGACTTTTGAAAAACAATGGATACAAATCATTAAAGAAACAAGGAAAGATAATAGAATGCATATAACTGGCTTTATGTTGTCATGGTGATTCAACAGTGTTCCATAGTTCAATGCTTCTAGAACATTAGAACCCCTTCATAGCTAGAGATTCCTAACCAGCTCACTCACACACACAAACTGACCATCTTCAGAGACACAACACAGTTTTGTCCCTTCGATTAAGTTGCGTTTTTGTGATAGTAATGGCGTTTTACAGGACATTTAAATCTCTCCTGTCCCGTAGGCACGCAAGGAAAAACTTTGATGTAGGGAATGATGTAAGTAACCAACTCAACCCCTTTCTGTTGGAAGATAGAAAGGTGGGGGGCTAATGTCTAAAATGTATTGAGGTATCATTAACCAACACTGTTTTAGCTTTTAATCAAAGCTGATTGAAGATTTGAGCATGTTAATCCGGCTTAAAGGTGGATCATCCCTCAAAACGATGAGATGTAATACACAAACATACACATTTCTCTGGACAATTCAGATTTTCAATTAAACAGGAGACATGTCTTATTTTTATACATTCCTTTAATGAAAGATGTTAGGACCTGGACACTTATGTGTATAGACATATGACACATCAGTCTCTCTTTGAACAAACATCACAATGAAGTAGTGTCTTGTGTCAAATCATGTCAAAGCGCTGACTTTTCAAAATGAAACAGATCTCTTTCGAGTGTTTGAATTCAAATCATACTACAGAATGAGCAATTCATTTAAAACATATGTATTTGTTTTTGTATACAGCCAGAAGAGAGGTATATCAATCAAAGTGGATCCAGAATACAGTCCAGGATCCTGGAAATCAAGGAAGCTGAAATAGCCAAGAGGGATGCACAGGTTCACCGTACTGAGAGGCTCTTTGCCTCACAGAAAACCTGCAGTGACGCTGTTCTGGAGAGACTGGGATTGTCCCTCCAGCCCCCTAACACCCAAACCCTTCCTCAGCGTCCAACTTCTCAACCAAGGAGACCTGAATCCTCTCAGCCAGGAAGGAGGATCAGGCACGTTTCAGAGGAAATGAGGTCGTTGGAAGACAACCCCTTCTTCGAAAAAAAGCTGCTGATGGGCAGTAAAGTGGCAATACTTCATTGTAAAATGGCAAAAGTTGCAAACAAAATCAGGAACCCAAGCCCAGACTACTCCCTCAGCTCAATAGACACACACACTCCCGATGAGCTGAGGATCATTCCACACTTAGGTCCTCCTATCAGGAGACCATCTCGTCTACCAGTGATGAAAAGGAAACACAGTGGAGAGGGTATGTATATATATGACTTTATGGAAACTTAAAAGGACATTTAATGACAGTAGAGAAGTGGGAAATGTGAGTAAACATTACCAATTTGCTTTTAATCTGAACAGGCAAGGAGGTAGCCGACGGTTGCATACTCAGAACAGCTCAAGATAATTACAAGAGAATTGCAGCAACAATGAAAAAGTTCATGGTTGACGACAGTCCTGCACCAAATCCACCTGCAGCGCCCAGAAGGACCTCGTATGTGGCATGTAAAGCTTGGAAACCTCGAGCAGAAGCTCCCCCGCCCCCAAAAGCCCCTCGTACCCACATTCAGGCAGAGGCACCCAAGGTTCCCGTACCCCCAAAAAAAGCAGCCCCACCCAGCAGAAAAGGACCTCACCGTGGGACGAAACTCAGCCCTCAAAGGGCTGTCCCACAAGAATACATGGAGCCTTTGGCCCACCCTGAGACGGGCCTGTCCAGCTTTTTTCGAAATATTGGCTCAGATGAATGGTAAGACAACAACACCGCAGGAGTGTTAAGATCGATTATAACAAGCTGACACAACCGTCCTAATGCCTTTCTTTTTGTCAACTCATAGGGAGAAAAAGCTTTTGGGATTAAAAACAATTCGAGCTATTGCACAAAACCACCAGGAATTACTAACTAAGATTAAACTGCATGAAGTATGCATAGTCCTTGCAGAACAGGTAATGTATTTATTTTAATATTGTTGTTGTTGTTGCATGTTCCTGTATGCAGAAGTATTGACTCATGTTCTTATTGACCATCTAGGTGAATAGCCTGCGCTCGGTCGTGGCCTGCGCTGCAATGGACGCATTAGCAGATCTCCACTCTTACCTGGGGAAGATGATGGACCCTGAGGTGGAGCGGACCGGAGGCGCCCTGCTGCAGAAGCTGGCACAGACGACCAACGCCTTCATCCTCCAGCAGGCTCACCTCGCCCTGGACGTGCTGGTGAAGGGATCCAGCCCTGGAAGAGTTATGAACGTTCTCCTTAACATAGGATCAAAGTAGGGAGAATTTACAAAGAGGTGTAGCAGTATTTCAAGTACATGAAATTTAGCATAGTTAATTCTGACATTCCCATGTTTTTGTCCTTTCTCAGCCACTGTTGTCCTGCAGTGAGGGCGTGCACAGCATTGCACCTAGAACAGCTGTTAGACATAATCGGAGAGGATGAGATCTTTGCCCCTGGGAAGATAATCTCAGAGCGTCTCCTTATTGCTGTCAGCAAGATGGCTGTGGACGCTGCATCTGAAGTCAGGTGAGTTATCAAGTCTTAAAGGTCACCTATTATGCAAAATCCACGTTTTCCTGTCTTTTATACATAAACATGTGTCCCCTCTGTGTAAAGAGATTCTGAAAGTTTCAGGAAAAAAGATTCTCTCACTTTTTGTCCTGATCCATTTATATAAAAACCTGTCTGAAAATGAGCTGATCAGATTTTGGCCACTTTATGATGTCATAACGATTTTTTGGCTTGTGTAACCATTAGCCAATCAACAACCAAGGTAACCCCCACCCCCACACCTTATCACCTGCATCTCCTCCTAGAGCACCATTGTGTTCTTTTTAACCAAATATCTCTCAGAGGGGCGTGGGGAGGGGCTCCTTATTTTCATCTAAAGTAACAGACAGAGAATCAGCACTTTTGAAACAGGGCTGAAACAGAGGGGATTATGGGATGCTGCAATGATCTGTTTGGTGTTTGGAGCCAAACACTTCAGAGACATGTTTTGTATATATCTGAGACCTATAATAAAGTAATGAAAAACAGTATAATAGGGGACCTTTAAATAGTTTAATCGTTGTCATATTTGTATAACCTTTCCTAACATTGTGTTTGGACACTAAATTGCTAAATGAGGATTGTTTATTTCTGAACAGGCTCCATGGACAGAGCATGCTCCTGGTACTCTCCCGGCAGGAGGAGTTCTCTGTCCTGTGGCATAACATCATCCCAATGAAGGACAGGCACCCATTGCAGAAGATCCTGCAGAAGATGAGGCAGTAGAAGCAGCGGCGACGGGAAGACAGGGGGACATCGGGGCAAAAAAAAAAAAGTAGACTGGCATGGGGTTGCAGGGGTTAGCTCTGTCAGCTGCACAGAAAGTAGGTTTTCAGGTGATCAGGTGGGTCTTTCTGTGTGGAGTTTGCATGTTCTCCCCATGCCAGTGAGGGTTTCCTCCAGGTGGTCTGGTTCCCTCGCATAGTCCCAAAGATATGCAGAGTTGATTAATTGTTGTCTGTCTTTATTTGTATTTGTGTGTACTTGTTCCGTTCTGTTTATTGGTCTTCTGCACAGGCACCATGGACAGATCACGCCTCAGGGACTTGCCCGCCAGAAGAGGTCCACGGCCATGCCTGTGAATGACCGCTTGCAGAAGATGCTGCCGTAGAAACGCAAGCCAAAAAGGAACCCAGGAGGAGATCTTGCACAACAGAGGAGACGGGAAGAAAGGAGGACATCGGTTCACTGTGTGATTTAGGCTGGCATGGTGGTGCAGGGGGTTAGCTCTGTCGCCTCACAGAAGGAACATTGTTGGTGACTAGGTGGCATGTTCTCCCCATGCCTGTGTGGGTTTCCTCCAGGTCGTCTGGTCACTCTCACAGTCCCAAAGACATGCCGATTAGGTTAATCTGAGATTTTAAATTATATTATAATATACGAAATAAATGTAAACCACCGAATGTTTTTTTATTGTTATTCGGTGTGAATGATATACCTGAATTGATGTTCAACATATTGCGCATTACTCATTTAATTTCAATGGCAGTCAGTTTTCCTTTGTCGCTTTTACTTCAACCACATTCGCAATGAAACTAATTTTACTATCATATGTTCACCTATAATGATCTGATGGAGTGACACTTTTTGATGATTCTTATTTTTTGGAAATACTTATTTGTGGCAGTGAGGGAAAAAAGCAAACTAAAATGTGCCTTATACATACAAAACAACACCTTGTCCATTCATTGTACAGTTTATTTTCTTCTTTGAACATGTAGTATTATTGCTTTTTGTCCTCAATGATTATCCACAGTCCTATGACAGTCATGACTCGTTAGAACAAGGCAGCGTACTGAAGAAAGGCTAAAGTCTTTCTTTTATAACTAAAACCTCTGATTAGCTTCTGGCTTTAGTCATAAAACAACCCTCAGGTCCTGATGCTGACACCTCCAGCCCTGATCCTCTCCAGTGAAGTCCACATATACTGACATCATCCAAATCTTTTTTTCGGAATAAAAGTGTTTATGCATAACCGCTACAGCAGTTGATTGAGTGAGGCACTGCAATAAAAAAGGCACTTTGGTAAATGCTGAGATGCAAAGTAACACGATATGAAGATTTTGTAGATTACAGTTATGATAATGAGAGGAGAAACTATTTTTAACAGAAACAACACCAACAGCAGATCTGCTCGGTCCAGAAGAGGAAGCAGGAAGTCCCTTAGGTTTGTGTTACCATGACATGGTGTGATGCATGTTAACCAGGTCAGGACACTTGGAGCCTGCTCTCAGTTCAGTTTTATTTCAGTTGTATACCTCCCTCCCTAGGTCACCACAACACAGGGAAGTCCGTTTTACTGAAGCCAGGGTCTCTGCGCATCTCCCAGTACGAGTTGTTGCTCACCCACGTGTCATTGTTAGACTTCCTGTCAAACACAACAAAAACACGTCAGGATTTTCCTAAGAACAAGTAGATTGAATAACTTGTTCACACAGGATATTGCTAGCATTCGGCTGACGTAATGCCCGAAGCAAGAAACCACAAAAGAACCTTGATGCACGCAGATAAGAAATGATCAACATACTTGAAAAAGCGTGGCTGGTGGGTCATGTTGTTTTCCTGCAGCACTTTCCTCCTCTCCCTCTGGAGCTGCTCTATTCTCTGCTTCTGCTCCTCGGCTCCTTCTGTGTTCCCCTCCTCCAACAGCCTGGACCAAGGACACAAAGACAGTGACTCAGGATAGAAGATAATATCACATTATATTTCATTTAGCTCACGTTTTTATCTAAAAGACATTTACAATAACTGCAGTAGGGCTGACAAATGTATCAACATTTTATCGGGCTTAAGCAATATTCATATCGCAGGACGCACAATATTTGTGAAAGGCTAAATTTGGTAAAATACCATTTTAAATGAAGTATTGTGGAGCTGCAGCAATATCCTGCCCTATAAAGTATACTCTACAGAGTGAAGAAATCATATCTGTTTGGTACAGACTATCATTTCTTTTATGCACGTCATGCCCACCAAAAACTAAATAATCGCATTTCGTTATGTTTCCCAAATTGTGCAGCAAGATACAAACTCAGACAGAAACCTTAAAATACCTGAGCTTCCATTAAGCCAAACTATTTTAAGAACCGAGACATTTTGTTACGTTTCTTGTGTGGCCATTGTGCAGTCGGATAGCAGAAGAATTTTGTTTGTGACTCTGGTTAGGTTAGTATTTTTTGCAGTTGACTTTCAGTTCCTATGTCAATATAGTTACTGAATGTCCTCACTTAACACTTGAAGATAATACTTTGCTGTGAAAAAGGCCGTAACGTTTCTGTACCAGACAGTTTAACTCTTCATAGGAAGAAAAGCAAACGGGTGTTATTAACAGGAATATTAACAATAGCACCTTTCTGCCCAAAACGTTTCTGGAACTATGGAACCAGAGGAACTCATTTCAAAAAATGAAATAAAAACATCCCTGTTTGTCTTCCGTCAGTTGAAACTAAAATATGTTCACATGTAAAAACAACAACATATTAGTAACCCTGTTGTTGATGTCTTTACTGTCAGACTTTGATGTTTAATGTAATTGATCCGAAACTAAATTCAGCTCCAGGTTTATTTCCTGAAAAAGGTTCTCAGCATCTTGGGAAAGTCCCTTCAGTGGAAACACTCTAAAAAGCTCTGTTCTACGCAAGTTTCCTGTTACGCCATGACAGCGTGACAGTCAGCCGGCCTTTTATCATTTACACCTTGGGTTTTCCAACATAGCTTCATGAGAAATGTGTGCTTGAGTACTTGAGTATATGTGTACTTAAGAGCAGTTCTTGAGTAAATGTGTTTAGTTACTTTCCATAACGGAGTAAATCATAGTATAAACACTACAGATGGATAAAGATGCCAACCTCTGGTCCGGCCTGAAGCGTGTGTCTGTGGAGGGCAGCAGGGCTCTCAGGTTGGAGTCCAGCTCGTTTAACTCCACTGCAAACTGGGTGAAGCCGTAGTACTGGTCTTGCTCCACTGGCATGGGGTCTACACACAAACACAAATGTACAGTTAAACTCAGTTTTTTTCCCCCTGTAGTGCCTTGATGTAAAAACGTTATATCTGACTTTCTTAGGGACCAATCACTCACTTGATCTCCAGATACACGTGGCAGAAGGCGGGTCTCCTTGAAAAACTGACTCGTGCCATTTTCCAAAGATGGAGTGAACTACTTTTCCATTTGAATCCGTAATCACGCCCTCTATCTCGTTAACTGTGGAGCTCCAAGATCTTGCCTGGATAAAGAAAAGGAAATTGTTAGCATTTCTTTACATAAAGAAATATATTACATCAAATGAGAGCAGACATGTAACACCCATGTGATTAATACCGTATGATTGATGTCATGGTTACAGAGGATTGGATCCATTCTGCCTCATTTTACATACTTCAATTTTGATTCCTATACAGCAGAGGGCGCCATTTGTTTGCCTTGATAGTGCTAATGGAGGAGCTATTTTTGACTTGGCAGCACTGCTTTGAAGAACACTGCAGTAATCTTTTAGAGGAGCAGATATATGTGTGTGTTCAAAAGGAGGACTTAAGGTGCTTACAGCCATGCACCTGTGATGATAACCGACACTGGTTTATGTGAATGTGACTCATACTAAGAGGGGAGAACCAACAGTAATAGTTTGTTGGGTACAATGAGGTACAGCATGTCCCTACAATGGAACTACACTGAACAGGAACAAGACACAAAAACATTTAAAAAACAACTACCTTTCCTCTAAAAGCACATAAAAACTGTGATTTAAACATCTGTGTTTCCTAACCTTGACGAATGTGACTTTACACTGACAGGCGTCACTGTTGATATTTTTGATGGACATCTCTCCGTAATGTTCGATCCAGCGCTGGCCGCTCAGGATGTTATGGATGCAGGATGTCACTTTGTTCCATTCATAGTGGTCCCCAAACCTGGAGAAATCAAACACATACTGGACTTAATACAGGTCGTCTCATTTGCTGTACAGCGTTTACTGCAACTAATTACAATGATGTTCATGTAAACACCTTTCAAACACGCAATGAGTTAAAGGTTCAAGGACTTACGCAGGTAGTGCGACATGTGTGGTCCCCATGGGAACAATTTCCATGGATTTGCCCCAGAATTTATTTTTCCATCGAACATCTAAAAGAAACAGGTCGTAAGAATTACAAGGTACTGTAAGTGCTAGTGACGATGAACACTGCCATATTGTCATAATCGAACACGGCAAAAGTCAAAGTAAACTGAATAGTTTGATTTTGAGTTTTAAGATAAGGTCACATTATAATCTGCACAGTAATTTCTTATACTGTTTGGATGTCATGCACATCAGGAGTAACAGCAATCACCAAGGCAACGTGAGGAAAGAAAGTTGTCTGCATCAAAAACTGCCCAAAAAAACCCATTGCATTTTCATATTATTTAACCCTTTATGTTACTAGGTCTTTTAACCAACTTCAGTCCTGATCATCACTACCAAATATTCATTCGGTCTCAGAACTTCAACCTTTTCAACGTCAGTTTGTTTACATTATTTTTAAAAGAAAATAGAAAAATACAGAAATGTCTGTTAACTAAATGCTAGGTGGATTTTCTTTCAGTCTTGGAAATGTCAATGATTAGCAACAACATTGATTTTTATGCTTTTTTATGTGCAGCAAACCAGAAAATAATCATATGCAACAGGGAGAAAGTGGCTCAAGCTCATGGAAAACATTACAGATTAAAGCCAGGGCTTAAAAATCCTGAATAATAATAGAATGCATGGTTTTATGCTGTAAGGTTGGAGGAATGGGGCTTAAGGGGTTTCAATGGGGATATTTCTTCCATAAGAGCCAGAGTCTGTATGTTAGCTACACACTTTATTACAGACATATCATAGGAGCTGAAGTTATAAAAAAAAACTCAACCCATGGCAAAATCTATGCCGTATAAATTAAAAGGGCAAACAAAGTTAGAAATGTAAATGTATTGGTTAAACTTGATCACAACCTACAGCAGGTCTCACTGAAAAGCAAAAAGGTGTGGTGGAAGTGTAATCTACATATAAGTCCAGACAGAAATGAGATGTTAATTCTTGATGGCTCTTTCCAGCTCACCTTGCCAAAAGGTGAAGTTCCTTGAATCAGAGTGACATGCTGACACAGGCGGGTGATGACTCACCTGGGAAACAGAGAGAGGACATAGAGGGTGCGATAAAGGAATATTATCAAACTCTCTACAACAGAATGATGAATCATTTACATGAATCATTCAAAAACAAAAAGTGTGAGAAGTTTTTTTCCCCCCAATGATAAACCATAGCTACATCCATTAAAAGAGATTACTTTAAAATACACAAGACCACCTAAGAGACAAATGGCAAGTCAGTGCAGGACTTCTCACTAAATCTAATCTAGTAGCAAACTATGTAAAGCAAAGAAGTCTTGGGAATTGTTTTAAACAGTAAAACAGGAAGAGGGCACAAGACCTGCATTTAATGTTGATTGCATTCAAACTACTGTATGTGAAATAAACTGAAAAGTAGCCCATCATACAGTGAGTCATGTGTGTGTTTTAGACCCCGTGATCTCTTACCTGCTCAGCTATAAACCTGTAGTTTTTATCAGGTCTGTCACACTCGTATGTCTCTCCCAGGAGGGGGTTGAAGGGTTTACTTCCTGCTCGATGGTAGGTGGAAGCATATGCAGATATTGCAAATGTTGCGACATAAACCTGCACAGAAAGTCAGTGGGGATGAAGTAAAGTTGTTACGTGTGTATTCAAAGTATTGTCATATTTGCTACATAAGGTTGTGAACATGACTGTGTGAACATGCATGAGTGTGAAACCACAAACTTTGTTTACATGGGACTATAGACATATACTGTAAGGACGTTTAACACACTCACAAACTGTGTTAGAGTGTGTGTTAATACATGATTTTAGTGAGAGGTATTTGTGTGTGTATAGTTAATAATTATTATTTGATGTATTATGTGGTATATGTGCAGCACTTGATGTACATTTCACTACAAATTAGAGTCAAATACTATAAATAAAAAACCTTCTAATCAGACACAGGAAGATACAAATAATGAAAAGGCTTCTAGCTTGTAAGAATAAAATATTGATTAAAGCGAAAAGAAGCACTCACAAAGCAGAAGTCGGACATTAGAGTAGTTTTAAAAAAGCTCTGGAGCTTTGAAACATATTTCTATATCTATATTTTGCTACATTGATGTTCATATTTTTTCCCACTTCCTTTCAATTATTGCATTTCCACCTTTAAGTAGAAACATTTTTTCAAGTGACAAAACGGATCACTTGTATGGCAAATACCTGTAATAAAAAAATGTAGTGCCAATCTTATAGTGGACCTATTTTGTACATGCTTTATGTAATATGCATGTACATTAAACGCTTTAATGTAGGGATTTGTGAATGCTTAAATGGCTCTATCTAGCTCTTGCAGGTGTTTCTCTTCTCACCATGCGCTGGAAGGGGTCCTGGGTCTGGTTGGCGGTGTCCAGCAGCTCGCTGTACTCCAGCTCCTCACACAGCCTCTGCAGGGTGTTGAGCGGCTCGTTGAGCTGCACTGGCATAGCCACTTTGGAGAGGTCCTTCCCGATGTTGTTCTTCAGGATGTTCCACAGGCTCACGGTGCTGGTGGGGCTGGTAGACGGCAGCGCGGAGCGACGGCGAGCCAGGGTCACCACGCTGCTAACTACAGGGGAGAAAGGTGGAGATCATACTGGTTAGATCATTTAGATATACTTATTAAAAACCAGTGAGACGGAGCATGTGAGAGTGAAATGGGAGAGACGTCGATGCTTCATTGTGGGATTTTCTAAAACTAGTTGCGGTAAAATCTCTGATGTTCAAAACCCATTTGATTGATGTGACATGATGATTTATTTAAACCTCTCTTTTTCGATTAAAAAACTAATCAATATTCATCTGACACTGTGTTTGAACTGTGAAATCTTGAGCACATTTAGATACAAAAATGTAAGATTTAAATTAGTTTCTTCCAGTACCATAGCAGCCCACTAGATGCTGCTCTGAGGCCCACCAGAGAAATTACATTACATGTTACTTGTTAGACGCTTTTATCCAAAGCGACTTACATACTCAATACTGTGGACAATCCCCACAGGAGCACTTAGGGGTGAAGTGTCTTGCCCAGGGACACAACGACATGCTGGCTGCAGTGGGGTTTGAACCTGTGCTCCCCTGATCCGAACACCTACGGACAACCCACTACGCAACACGCCCCCTGGGAAATGTGGGTGTTTTAGGAGATACTCTAAAACTGTTTGCCTGAATGGGTGTTCTTTTAATATTTTTGAGGAAGAAAATGGCTAAATTGAATTTCCGAAAAAAGAACTATTCACACCAATGTTTTTTCAGTCCCTTTACAACATGACTCATAATACTGGCATATCACTTCACAAACTTTACAAAAAGTCTAACATCTTGATAAAAGACGAATACAGTAGAGATAAAACAACCAGTCATTTCATTTCCATTAACCCCATTCTCTGTTTTCTATACCACATTCAAACCAATATTTCTATTTGCAACTGAACAATGCAATTGCATTTAAGTTTTATTACCTGAAGGCAAATGTTTCAGCAGTGAAACCCTAAAAACTAGCACCATCTGCAGCACTGAATTAATGATGCCTGTACACAGATGCTTTGTCACATACAGCATAAGGCAGCATCGTAAACTACGTTTGTTAACACGTCTGCAGGATGGCAGTGGTCATGTTCAACACATTCCCTGAGGAAGTGAGCAAATTCTACAATTCCAGACATTCATAATTGATTTGATGCTACCACTCTTTGAGAAATAAACCTACAGAGGCTGAGTCACATAAGCCCTATTTTTGCGCTCTCACTGTCTTTCCCTCTGTTAAGGGAGTTAACACACGGACAGATGCACGCCTTGTTACTGTATAATGTACCAGAGTTGTGTCTCTCACTGCCTCCCTCGTTGCTATAGGTATCCATGGAGACGCTGTCACTGATATCACTGATGTACGAGTCATCGTCGGACACCTGGAGGTAGAAAACCAATGCAGAAGGTCAGCGAGCGACCAGAACGCAGAGTCAAAAGAAGAAAAAAAAAATGTGGTCATTTAAATAAGAAAGAAAAAATGCACCCAGTGTAAAGTCTGTTTTTATTGTGACCAATTGGTATTAGTGGTTCACTTCAAATACAAAAAAGTTGTGTTGAAACTTGTTGCTAATTTGAGCAGGTCTGAGGGTAATACAACACAGATTACACACTGCTATTCCTGCCAACTAACCCTTAATTAGCCTTAAACTTGATTAATTTGATCAATAATGCCGAAACAAATAGTTAATTTTATCTATTAAAGTGGACAATCTTGATCATTTCTTTTAAATGTAATTTATAAAAGGAAAAAAATGCTATTTTCTGTTCCTATATTCTAAAACATTAATATAAACAAACAAAACAAGTCATGTACAGACATGGATGGACATTTTTCCCAGTTTTTGAATTTTTTTGGACAAAACAATAAGTCTTTTAATAAACCAATTAGTTTGACTTGAAGCATAAAGGATAACGTAGTAGCTAGAGTCTCACCTCATTCTCAGAGGAGGAAGAGGAGAGGAGGTACTCCTGAGCATCGAAGAACTCCGATATGGACTCCGGGATAGACCCTTTGCTCTCATTGGACACCTGGTGGACTAAGGAGTGGGAGCCTCCTGGACAATCCTGGTGAAAATAAGAAGTATGTTGAGTGAAGCTGTACCTCTAGTGATTGGTGTTGGCCATTTGGGGTGTAACTGTGAAAAAGCATGATTTTTAAATCGCAGAGACACTCACTGAGGCAAAGCTGGTCTTCAGGCCGATGACCTGCGCCGGCTGTGGGGCCTGCAGGTCGATGGTGTGCCTCAGTCTGTCTCTCTCCGCTACCAGGGAACCAAAGGCCGATTTCAGTGTGGTGTGGACTGCAGAGAAGAAAGAGCCAGGCAGAGGAACTGTTGGACAGTTGTCATGGAAACTATCCTACCATATAGACAAAAAAAAGCATGTTTTTCTATCTAATGTAAAAGCCTCTTCTGAGCAGACTAGCAGACGTCACAGCAGGCACTCACTGTTGTTGGCCAGCCTGCAGAAGTCCTCCTGAAGGCGGGACCCATCTGTAGGCGAGTCTGGGGATTCGGGACAGATCTCCGGTGCGTTTGCCTCCGTGGTGGAGAGATTGGGATTTGAGGCGTGGAGACGAGGGGATTGGGAGGAGATGCAGCTTGGGACCTGGTGGACAAAATCAGAGAAAAGGTGAATTGATGCAAACCATAATTTATCCACACTGTTGAATGTAGGTTTAGAAAAAAGGTTTCTTAAAATCTGGAGATGTACCTGTAGTGTGGCTTTGGGTTCTTTGCCATTGTTTTTGGATCGCCATCTCCTTGGCCTCTTCTCTTTCTTGGGCATGTCATAATTAGACGCCTGTGGGACCAAAGGAAACAGACATTAGGGCGAAACAAACACTATTTATTTCGGTTTTGACCTAATCACACACAAATGTTTTGTCTTTCAGGCTTACATTACTTGATGAGTAAGATACTTATTTGACTTCTTACTCACTGGGAACATGAGTAATTTTCATGTTACACCCACAAAGTTTGCTAAAGCATATTCATTCAATATTATTGCAAATAGCTTAAATCAAATGTAGAGTCAGCGTTTTTAATCAAATACATTTGTGGTCAAATATCTCTAGTAGCTTTCTGTTCCGTATATTCTTATGTTGTTCATGCACAGCCATGGCTCGGTAAATAGTATACAAACAAAGTGTCTCAGACCGAGCTGCTAAACGCTATTCAAGTTAGGATAGCGGGGGGAAAAAAATGATGTTTCAAGAGAAAGGCAGCGGCGAGGGACAGTAAATCTGGCACATGCTAACGTTCTGTCGGAGTGCTGATGGGAGGGGTGTATTGGTTTTGGTTTTGAGTTCAAGTATCAATCTGTCTCCAGGATAGCGGACTCCACCTTTAAAAAAAAGAACACCTCAACATGGTATGATGACTAACTTAATGTGTGTGCCTGGGCTTACTTGTAGTGCACTAATGGCGGGGGCGGAGTAAGTGCGGTGGAGGACCTCCATGCTCTTCAGCAGCAGATTGAGCTCCAGCAGGTACGATTCACATTCCTCCAAGTCTGAGGGAAGGAGAGGTTACTATTAGATGAAAGATTGTGGGCATGCATAGATACAAATAAACCATTTCAAATGATGTATTGAACTGAGACTTGTTGTAAAAGGTAATTTCTGTATTTTTGAACACAGGTTTTTGTGTTTAAGTGACAATTATTCTTGAAATGGGTTCAATACTAGCGAGAGCTAAACTTCAATGTGGAATGACCCCAAGTGATTACATCCCATAACGTCTCTTAAAAGTGTTTTTGCCAACGACAGGCTGATGGTGTTTGCGTGATCCAGTCTGTTTGTTATTGTGTCATGTGCCCTTTTGCCGGAAGACAATGGTGGGGATGTGAATGGGAGATGGAGAGAGGAGTGCCGGTGTTGTCAGAGTTTGTAGTGTTTGAGTACACAAAGCGTAGCCTAGTGTATTCTAAAAGAATTTCAGTGTCATGGCTGGATATCTAGGTGATTTTGACAATGTGGATGTTACGCAATATTTCATATAGAGACATCCGACCTTGACTTAGTTAGACACAATAAAAGGAGCCACCTGAGCATTTGTGAAGTAAGTGGGCAGAGAGAAAGCAAAACATAAACCAACCTTTGCAGCATTTGTTCATGTCTTCTGAGGAGTGGAGCCAAGAACTGACCTTAGCCTGGTGGACCGACGCCTGCTTAGTCAGAGTAGCCCTCTGTTTCAAAGAGACAGACGAGAGAGCATGAGGCATTGCCAGCATCACATAGCAACATCCGTACCGTGTGAAATCTAAGGGAGCAGCAATGTTTTCTAGAATTTGCACTTACTTTTCTGAGGGAATCACTGAGAGAGGGGGAGGAGGAGGCGTGGGGGTTGAAGAGGTGCCTCTCATGGGGGTACATGGCAATCTCGTTCTGCCGAAATACGCGGTGATGACGCATCTTTGACACCCACTCCTCAAAAAGCTCGGGAGACTTCACCTGGGTGCCATAAAGTCAAATTAGGAGCAATATCTTGAGTGTCTTTGAAAAGACACAGCACGTAGGCGCTGAGACATTTGAGTATATCTCTGACTCATAATGAATTCACCATAACTTTGATTGTTCTGAATTTACCTTTAAGTGATAGATGTTATTCTCCGTGTCCAGGTCGATGCACATGACTTTCTTTTTGATTGACATGACCGAGAGGCCGACGTCAATGCAGCCGTGAAGCTTTCCCTTCTTCATCTGCAAACGTAACAATGTGTTATCTTGTGTCTTTATTTTGTGGAAATGCAAGAATATAGTCTTGAAGATAATACTTACATCAGGTCCGCGCTTCGCATACTTCAAGATGCCTTTCTCCAACACGAAGTATCTCTGATTGGGAAACAAATCAAACATGTTTATTCAGAGTTTTCAGTTCCTGACCTTGAATTATAGGTTTATTGAACTCAGGGTAACCCGTGTGCTTTTATTTTATTCTATTTTATCCCATGTTTTATTGTCTTTTTATTGTGTTTTTGTGTTTTTAGCACTTCTTAACACGTGGCTTACGTGGTCATTTCTTATTTTATGATTCCTATGATGTTTTAATGTTTTGTCAAGCACTTTGTGACTTTGTCTGTGAAAAGCGCTTTATAAATAAATGTTACTTACTTATTAGGTTACACAATAGTTAGCTATGCAGACACTGTTATGCACCTATAACCGTGAACAGCAGCAGTTAAAGAAGTGATCAGCAGTTTGGACAATGACCACATAAAACAGCTTACAAGCACACCTTGTTCTCTCGAGTTTTTACAGTAAACACTTGCACACTGATAAAGTACTTGAACATATTCTCTATTTAAGTGTCTTTTCAATCCAAGGCAGAACTTCCCAGGTATGCACGATCACACAGAAGAGGGGGAGGAAGATGAGTCAGGGTTACAGTATAATCGGCGGGGAATAAAAATAATGGAAAGAAGGAAGAAGACATAATAATGGTGAAGAGGAGGAACTGTGGAAATAGCTGGAGGTATTTAAAGAAAGCAGGTCAGAACTTAGACATTTAGGCAGGACTGAGTAAATGTGTGGTTCAATCATAGGTATCATCTTTAAAAAGCATCTTTAAAAATAAGCTCTTCCTTATTTTAAAAAACACAGCTACAAAAAAAGAATACACTAAAGAATCTAAATCAAAAGAAGTCTGCTGTGTCCAGAAAACCATTACCCTAACCCTAAACCCACATCTCTCACAATCTCACAGCTGTGGCTCACTATCTGACACCCTTTGCATCGAAAATAGCTCTTTGGTTCAACAAAAGGCAGCGGGGGCGTTATATAATAAGACGTGTTACAATGCAATCACTGACTCGGGCTTTCACAGGGTTGCCGAGGGCCTCACCTTATGCCACCCCTTCATGGGCCACTTCCTCCTCTTGAGCAGGAAGCCCTCCTGTCTGTCGGGCTCCTGCATGCTGGCAGGAACCCCCCGTAGCCCCTCCACGATCTCCCAGCTGTCCTGGAGGGAGACACAGGAGCAATACCGTATGAGTTACACAGACATTTCCCCTTACAGAAGAGAGGTGGAACACAGTCTCAACATGTAAACAATACACATATCATCATCACAGATACCATTTAGGTTTAATAATGTTGTGACTGCATTACTGGTTAGTGTAAATACAGTGTTATTGCACTTAACGCATGTGTTTTATTGGCATTCATAGGATTATTTTAATGTTTTTTCACTGAAAACAACAATTAATAATGGCTACATTTCGACTGTTTTATATTGACAACTAGATCTGCAAGAATTAGCCAATAAAAAATAAAATTTAATATTTTGATAACTGTAATATTTCATTCAAAATTGCAGAACATTTGTTTTAGCCTCTTAAATATAGAGATTGTCTGCTTTATATCATATTAAAGTGTAAAAACAATATATCCCCTTTGACGAACTAGGATGTCCGTTTTTCATTTTCTGACAAAACGATAATTCAGGTAAAAAATGGTGTGATTAAAATGGTTTAGATGCAGACCTTTAGAGAACAAAACATGCATAAGAAGTGTTAATATTTGACCTGCTTCGGTATTAGCTGAGAATAGAAAACGAATGCCGAAGAGCTTTTTGTAATCACAGCGAAAACTCATATTCTCTACAGTAAAGTAGCACACATGCATACCTGGTTACTGTCGTGCTTAGAGGAGCCGCTGCTGTCACTGTGAGTGGGCGACGACGACGTCATCTTTCTGTGACTGAACCGCTTTCTGCCCACCGTTGTTTTGTTTCTGTGGAAACCGCAGCAGCAGAGATCACAGCAGAGCCGCCAGGAGCATCACTCTGACCTTTGAAGGCCAACGAAACAGTCAGCACTGAGGAGAAAGGGTGGAAACAAACTGATGTCAGAGCAGCGCTAAGGTAGCAGCGTGCAGGACGACACAGATACAAATTAGAGAGGAATCACTTACTCAATGAGTGTCTGACTAACTGTGAACAGCCTTATTGAGGATATAGAAATCCCCTAAGTCCAAAGTAACTTGGTTTTAAGGAAGCAAGAAACAAATATCCAAAATACAAAAAACACATGAGAGGCTGATAATTCTTTATCATGAGCTGTGACGCACTCGCAGGGTTCAACGTGCACCATTTGTTCTCAATGATGTCTGCCTTTTTGTGGACTCTGATACTTTTGAGTACACACATAACTCACATATATGTTTACAGTCAGCATTCATCACTGTGGCAGTACCATACAAGTGCGCTGATCAAAGGCCTACTTGTAAAAAAGCATGTGATCATCAGGAAAATAGCAATAAATTCCCCATGGAGTAGGGGATGCACCAATCTGAATTTGTCAGCCTCAATACCATTAGCATTAAATAATAAGCAGTATGCCTCACTTTGTAAGACTGAAAGGAATCATACTTTTAAGGTGTAAGGTAACATCAGTTAGAGTTGGGCGATATGGCGGTACACAGTATACCGAATGGTAGAATTCTGTCCATCGGAAGAGATTCAGCGATACTCAAAAATGAGTAAAACATGCATATATTGTTTTAGTATTACAAAGAATTCAGGCTGGATTTGTTTTGCTCCAACTGGTCACTAGTAACTCTTCAGAACATTTCAGAACTTTTCTATCCCAAATAAAAGATTATTTTAACATCAACATCTTGATTTAACATTCATTTCTGAATTGTTAAAACAATTTTAAACAATATGAAACAGATCGGTACAAAGACATCAATTCTATTAAAATAATGGTTTCCAATACGATGTCGGCCAATTGTCACCGATTCCTAATCCAGCGATTTTAGTCAGCATCAGGCAGACATCAGAATCTCTACAAGTGAGATTATCATTGAAATAAACAAAAGGGTTATAACTCCAGACAGGCTACTTGTTTCGATGTGCCAGACAAAACTACCACGTTAACACAGAGATTTCTAACACAAAGCCGCTCATGTACATTTACAGCTCACACCATCTGCATACTGCTGAATCAGGAGCGTTATCCTCGCAGCTTCACCCTTGGCTAGTCTCACATGGAACTTCCTCCTCCTTCTGTATCAGCATTGTGGAGTTGATTGTGAATTTGAATGTTTCTTTCATGTGTGTTGATCAAATGTTGTGTTTGAAGCTCTGCCTTGAGGTTTTGTGAGGTCATGGATGGTCTATGTTAAGCTAGTTCTAATTTATCTTTATGAAAACATCATAATTCAAAACCACCTGCAATGAAAACACATTCCCAATTTGCTTTACACATATAAAGAGTTTTGCATTGTGCCTCTACATATAACAGATAGTATGCGCTGTGCATGTTAATGGTTGCATGGGATAAGCAGGGAACGTCTTCTCACTTTAGTGTAACATTCATTCCTCTCCTCGCCACAAATGACATGCCCCAACCTGGGTGTGTATATATTATACCTCTGTGTGTGTGTTTTATTGCCACTCCCTTTTTATGAGTATACTGTCAAAACCTAGCCTCGGGCGTGTTTATCAACATGTGAACAGGGCACGTCACTGTCTGTTTGCTTTGTGTGTAGACGCATGCAAATTTGTGTAAACTCTTGGATTTTAAGTGTGCAGCATGCTACATCCTCTGCAAACGGTCTAGTGGTTTGTGTGCATGTGTGTGTGTGTGTGTGTGTGTGTGTGTGTTCAGTAGTTCCCCACGGCCCCGCTCACAGTCAGTACCATGCCCAGGACGTGAGTCATCAACAGGAAAGAATGTGCTCCGTGCTTCGATACCCCCGACACACCACAACACACAGCTAGCTATGGTCAACACTGGGCTAAAAGCAGCCTGAAACACATGGACGGCCCACTTTCTTCACAGCTCCGGAGCACAGACTAAAAGTACAGACAACATATTTTGAGAAGGCTTGAATTGATAAACTTGGAGAGCTCGGATTAGCTCATCAAGTTGTTGGGTTCACACTTTTCAGGCTGTGACATGTCTGGCGTCTCCAGCTGCCACTGAAGCATTATCTCAAATCGAATTCAGGAATTTGCACATAACGCAATCTTTCTAGGCTTTCAACAACAAACGGTGCATACATATACATAAAGCTTTGACTGCATTTGAAGAATACAACTAGATTATCACCTTTACATAACACGCTGTCCTCTATTCCTCAGCCGTTTCACTTTTACACAACTCAGCAGCAAAGTTTGCAGAAAAACACTTCCCTTTGAGCAAAAACCTCCACTGCCACTGCATCTGTGCACATATTTTGTTTTGAAGTGTCACTACCTCTCGACACTTCCTCACTTCAAAAGCTTAAAAGCTTCCATGAAAGCTGTGTATTAGTCTATCTGCTACAGATGAACAGTAAAATGTGTGAGTGAAGCTGGGCCATGTCAGTCCCTGAACATCCCACCGAGTGCCCTACTTACCTCCAGTGAGTGATTACTGTAGCATTGTACACCGCCGAGCCACCTGCACTGTAAGACTAGAAGTGCTTGCCTTTAGTCTTACGTAATGGTAGTCAATCATTAATAGCACAACACCTTGTAAATGATCCTTTAAGATGAAAAAGGGGTCATTCTCACGGCAAGGGCCAATGCCACGGAGTCACAAGGTCCAATAAGGGAATACAAGGTTTAAAAGGTGATGGTTTTTGTGTTTTCTTTCTTTTCATAACACGTGTCAGCATTCATGGGATCAGCTGATGGGAGAAAGGAAGTGATTAGCCGATTCAAATGGGTAAGGTTTTGTCAGGATGTATGAAAATCTGACAACAGTGAGACACCATAAGGTCACGTTTTGGTCCAACAACAAACCTGTAAAAAGCTGATTAACCTTTTGTACGAACGCTCTTCTGTTTTTGCCCTGTACCATATTGTCTTATTCACTGCACTAAAGGAACGTACCAATAAGGATTCAATGGCTTTTTTGTCATATGCACTGCAATGGAAATCTTGAGGCTCCTCCAACAATTTAACATAAAATATACTTATACATACAAGAGATAAAATAGTGCTAAAGACTCAATGAAATACTGTACAGTAGAAAACGTGTTATTCTTCCAAATCCCAGTAACCAACAAACTGTCAACCACACTAACCACTGTTGCTTCCTCAAAGCTTTCACATGCCAAACTTTGTTCGCAAGAGTTCATGCACTTCAGGAATGCTGCTATTAAAAGGCATTGTTCAAATAAACTCAAACAATGTCCAACAAGTCATTAAGTAGGCCTGCATCATAGCTACAGGCGACACGTAATGTGTATTTACAGAAAGCCCTGAGGCTTTCATACAGCAAAGCCTCATCTGTTGTTTCCCTGTTTCCATGACAGGATCTGAAGACAAGTGAAGCCTGAGGAATCGTCAGGCTGGAGTCTCCAGTCCTGGCATCACAAACACACAGACATTGACTTAGCAGCCAATCCATCTGCTTTTACCCGTTCACATTCTCGCAACAGCAGGACTGCCATTAACCTGACGGTGCACATACTGTAGTTGTATATCCTCTCCATTACGGGCGGCAAAAAGGTCCTCACAGATTGACCATATGTGACTTTACCTCCAATAAAGCGTCTTCCGGTAAAGCTTCTTCACAGAATTACTGAGTTAAAGCTGTGCATGATCCGCTTATTATCAAACTGAGAGCCGGCTTTAAATAGTCTCACATCTGGCAATATTATCTGGCTACTTCTTAACACACCCCAAATGTTAAGAAATGGATGTTGTGCAGCATATGGTTTTGCATTGGATATTGGCAGTAGCACTCAGCCTATCTGACCTGTGACATGATGCCTTAACATAATGTTTCCTCTGACGTAACATGATGCCTTAACATAATGTTTCCTCTGACGTAACATGATGCCTGCGTTTTCTGTATTCAGGCAGAGAATAACTCATTTGGGCAGCAGCGACGAGTGATCAAAGAGGTTCAAATCAGCCTCAATATGCCATTCAGCAGCCAGATATTTTCATGAGCACTCAAAGAGAGACAGAAAGAGAACAAGCTTCAGAGCAAGCATTCCCATTTATTCTTGACCGATGTATTTTTGCAAAGCTGCATCCCAAAAGACGTCTCTTCTTTGTCTATTTCCTGCTGAGACAACAGACACTTTGTGTTACTGCTCAATCACAGGTTGCTATGGTTACTAAAAAACACAAGGCAAATGCAAGAATATTTTCAGTTTGTTTGTTCTTTCGGGAAAATCTGAGGGCATAAAACATGGGGCTATTTATAGAACCTTTGCCGTTACCAGCAGAAACACGATTTCACATGAGTGTCAGCTGGAAGTAGGACACAGCATCCTATAACCTTATAAAACCATAAGAGTTCACAGGCGGGCTATTCTCTGAGTGACCACTTGGTGTGTTAGTCAAAGCGGGAATGCTGTGTATTAACCAGCTTTTAAGTGGGTGTTGTGCAAAGGAGAGTGACATATAGATAACTCAGTGAGTCACGACAGCCATGCTGGATGTTTACGCCCAGAAATGTTCCAGCAGGAATAAACATTTTGGGCTGGACTGCAATCAGCTGACTGAAAGACTTCATTGATTCATGTGTTGCAATCCTCTGTTGGATCCAGATCACCAAGTACAGAGGGGAAAGCCTGGAACAGCACCCCCTAAAGACACAAGGATTCAGGGCAGATACAACACAAGGGTCTTTAACCCAGATTGTGGGTTTGCAATGCAGCCTTTTAATACTTCTACTCTTCCTAGGGCTGCAACTTGTGTGCATCTTCATTTAAAAACAAATCTGGAGTTCATTTTCTGGATTATTGGTTAAGGATCACTTGGTCTTTAAAGTGTCATATCAGAAATTCCCAAAGCCCTTTCTGACAACCTCAGTGCCTGATTTTTCCAACAATCCAAAACACAATTGTATTCAGTTTAATATGGTATGAATTAATCAGGTTTTTGATTAATCAACTAATTGTTTCATCTGCTAGATTAGAGGAATAACTCGTTCATATAAAAGGCTTTTGATGAGTATAGACATTTTATTTAAAGCAATTTTGGTATTCTCCTTCATTTTTGTCTGTAATGTAGAAATCTACAGCATATATCAATATCTGTCTACATCTATATATAGATATATATATATATATCTTTATTTATACCATTTGTTGAACCAGCCTCCTCTCAGTTGAGATGTTAACATAACACTTCAGGGCTTTAGAGATTTATTTAACACTAGCTTTGGTCCTGTGCTGGCAATGCGTGCCAACAGGCAGTCAATGAATGGAACGTAGATAGTGATGCCATCTCCACTCATGCATAAAATGATGCTGTTTGGACTAAGAGGTGTAAAAGGCCAAGTATTGATATACAGTATGATAACAACAAAGCCCTTAAGCGTCACAAAAGCCTAAAGTGGAACCCCTGAAAGACTAATGACGATTATTTAATTCATTATTGGAGAGGGATACAACAGACAATTATTTATTATCATTTAAAAAATCAGTGGCCATTACAAATTACCAGAGTTCTAAAATGAAATCTTCAAATATCTTGTATTTATTCAACCAAAATTAATTTGAATAGGAATACTAATACTAGCATCCATTCACACGATAAACTGGAACCCATTGTTGGGACAATTTGCTTAAGAACTTACATTACTATGAATTAACTATAACAATTGTGTCCTGTTAAGCTTTTGTCAATCGACAAATGGAAAATCAAGTAATCATTTCAGCTCTATCAGTGAGTGTGGCCTGCAGGTGAGTGTGGCCTGCAGGTGAGTGTGGCCTGCAGGTACACATGTACACTGTACTGTATTCTGTACAGTACACATACTGTACTGTATGTAGTTCAAACACAGGATATTGTATACTGTCCTATATAAAACCACTTAGCATTGCTATAATGTAAATGAATGAACATTTCAATGAATATCTCTTCAAATCCTACCAGCATAGTAAAACAACAGCCCTAATAGGCTACAATGTCAATATTTACCATTAACACACTAAATAAAAGCAGTAACAATAGTGTGCTTGTGCTGGGGATGATGTCAGCACTGTAAACGATGCAGATTGGTTAAATTAAAAAGTAATTAATGGGGATACACTCCACGGGGATAAACCACAGGTGTCCCGTGCTGCTCAGTTCCTGTTGCCAACAGCCAACACAGCAATTCAAAGTTGTCAGCGCAGACAAAATGTACTATATATCCCATGTGGTCGTGAACCCCTGCGCTCACACACAGCCTCAATGAAACCCAACCGGCACATCAAACAGGAGATACACGGACGCTTTAACGCACCAATTTAGCTCCAAATGTCACGAGGAAGTCCATTAATAATTCTATCGAGAGCGATATTGTACAACTAAAGCAGCGACAGGAGTCAACTCTGCCGCTCACTATAAACGGAAGCTATACATTAAGGGGAGAAACACAGACATGGTTCCACACGAGTTATGAGTATTATTTAAAGAATATACTTACGGTTCTGTGGCGAAAGCTAAAGCATCCTATCCTGATAGTAGAGACATACGGTACCTGGCTTTGGGCTACTGCTCCTAGTTACAATGCCGGAGCTATGTGGAGGAGGAGGGGCCTGCTCTGTGGGCAGGAGTGACTGACGTTCCTCTGAGCCAATCACAATCCAGGAAAGACACCCGGGGGCGGGTTTAAAGAATGGGCGGACACTTTTTTGAACGTACCATAGAGTGACGTAGGCAGATATGTCAAAGACAGGAAAATACAATCAAGGTGAAAGTTTGGCGATAAACAATGATGTGGCAGGTAAGCTCCAGCTGTTCACGTGAATTCATGACAATACACGAGTTAATGAGTGTGTTTATGTATATGTGCTTTGTGTTTGTTACCCCCATTCATAGACGGTTTGGTTTCGGTCATTTTGGCATCAATTACAAGCTTGCTTTACATTTCATTGTGCCTTGAAGTCGAAAAAACAGGCTGTTTAATTAAAAGATATGAGGCCCATTTCCCCCCGGGCCCTTAATCTTTGACCCCAGCATATACAACTACATAGTTCAGTCAGGTTTAAAGAAACGTCAGAACATGTGTAGGTTAGCAAAACATGGCTAAACATGCCATTCTTCTTCAATAACGAAAGTGTAGCTTAAAAAGTAAATAATATAAACACAACTTTCTAAAAACGCTTAATCCTTATTCACAATCAAACAAATGTAAAGACCAATCACTAATACAAAATTGATAGTAACATGATAATTTGAATGAGAATGAGAAGTTTCTGTTTACAAAGCTGAGCTACAACAATACAATCCATGAAGTGTTAATCTTTTCCCATTAAAATCCTCTCCAGAGGCTATTTGTTTAACGATAATGTAATCGTTGATTGTTTGTTGATTCAACAAGGTTGTCAAAAGAGATAGTCAGCTGTATTCTAATGAAATGTTAATTAAGTGACAACTCTGAAAATAAAAGTCCACTTCGTAGCTTCGGAGGTCAAATAAGTCATACTCCATCATGTAACAACCAATAAAAATGATATTATTATTACCCTTTATTTTGGAAAGGCCATAGAACCAGCTTCCTTTGTCAAGACACCCTCATTATAATACAATATAGTCAAACAGTTTTACAGTTAAGACAATGGAAGTTATAATATGCATTGCCAAATATTTGCAAAAAACAGGGCAAGGACATAGATAAGGTACAAGGTCAACTCAAAGAAAACACATGCATTCACAATGCCCCATGTCAATCAAAGGGGGTTTAAATTGATTGAAAGGGATTAGCTTGACTAAGCCTATTAAAAAGCCAGTTTCCCAATCCCAGTATTAATGTAGATAAAAAGTTGCTGTTCTTTCTCACTACCATCAATTACCACCCAACATTGTAGTACAATAAACAATAATGCGTTGTAAAGCCATCCTAAGATATTTCACGATTATATTCAGTATTAATCATCAAAGAATAAGGAGGAAATGGATATTAAAATGATCATTAAATAGCTTTTTATGTCTGAACAACGCTCCAAAACCTAAATATATTCAGTTTGTTATGACTTATCGACGTATGACTATTATGACTGAGATAAAGAACCAGGGGCTGTTTGGTGATTTGGCTTGAGCAATGACTCAGCGATTAATTTTAACATTTTTCCAGTAACCAACTGATGAATCCTCTAACCTGTTGAGGATTGTAGGACACGTTTTGATCCTGCGTAAAAGCCAGTAGATGGGGAAATACAGTATTTCACAATAATCAGTCTGATGCTTGTCCTCAGACATTCTGGTTGCAAAAGATGGCTTTAACCACAAGTGCTGGCTGTTTTCTGGAACGATGAGTAAGTGAGAGAAGTTGTGTGATTGCAACCAGACAGGGTGAGCATGTGGGTGAAGGAATGAGCATGTGTTTATGTGTTTCTATTTAATATCCGTCAGTTTTAAAGCTCCTAACATCTTTCGCCAAGAAAAAAGCTTTGCTAAGTCGACCTCTACTGCCCTTGTTTCTCTCCGAACCACCTTCATTCCTTGGATTTGTTTACCCAACAAAACAAATTCCCTCCTTTGCATGGTCATGAGTCTGTCACTTCCTGCCTGGGCTTATTTCTATGGCAACAGAAGGCAGGGAAAACATAAAATGAGGGAGAAAAATGTATTTGAAAGGGAGAGTTAGAACTGGGTGTGGCCAGAAACTCTGAACCGACAAAACTAATGACTATGTTTTTGGAGTTTAAAGGAATCCTGGCACTGAGAGAAAACAAAAGTTGATTGCTGACGTGCCAAAGCGTGATGTTGGACGGGGAATACACAGAAATAATAGATTATCAGTGTTTGTATCACAGACCTTTCCATTGTCAAACCCAGCTGGAATACCATGTTCTTTCCTAAGAAGTGCACAGTTTAAGCCACAAGGGAACACACCCTGGCATGCCTGACACGTGCCACACACGTTCACATTTTCCACTATTAGCACATCTTATGGGGTCGATGGAGAACTGACAGCGAGACCCTCATAAATAACGCAATGTAATGTAAGCTGAAACGTGACACTTGCAAGTGTGTGTGTGTGGCAGTATATAGCTATTCATATCCCTTATCATCTTACTGTCATTTACAGTACACACAGGCAGATTATGTAAGACAGTGTCATCTGTAGGTTAGATTTGGTTACTGCAGTGCTGGTGGTGTCAGTGACCTCATGTTCTGTTAAACAAAGAGACAAAGAACATGGACTGCAGGGAGGTCCCCGTGCTGTTTGAACTGCATAAGAAGGTCTTTCATTTTCTTAGCTCTGTGCAATCTGACTTTAAGTGTAAAGAGGGGAAATTAAGAGAGACAACACCCTTCAACCAGAGAACCTCTCTCAGAAGTTTAAGTGCCCTTTAGCAAGACTGACAGGGTCCCTGTTCTATATCTGAACATGACCTCTGACCCTATTAACCCTCAAGGGGGCTTGAGTTTAGTGCTGTGATTTTTCTTGGCGAGAGTCCATTATTTTCTATTGATTAAACAAACTAAATATACCTTGGTAATTAGTGAGCTTTTAGACGTGCTAGGCGGATTTTGTTATCTTTGGACGGAGTCAGGCCAGCTGTTTCCCGCATCTTTCTCCCCCTGTGCACTCCACATGTTCAGCTAGTCTAACTTAGCCTTTAAGCTAACCTTCCTTTGCAGTAGATGTTGTGGAATCACTCTTCCCAGGTAACTCCCAGCAAGAAAGAAAACATTTCCAACTATTAACATTTAGCTTTAAGATTATATGATGATCCAGATGCTGTCCTTAAAATATCATGTCAGTTTATTCTGTGATGTTGTGGTGCATACAAAGAAAATCACTTTAGCATTGGATTAACCCTAACCCCAAATGAATTGCCATACAATAAACCTGGAGTCTTCAGGCCCTCTGAGTTGCCCTCTTTACCTGGTTGGTAAGTCGGAAAAAAATACGTTTCTCAGTATGAGTCAGCACTGCATTATTATCACTACTGTTGCCCCTAGTGCTAAAATGTTCCATGTCTGCAGAGGGCGATGTTGCACAGAAGCAATGCAGCGTGGGGCTTCGACAGAGACGGGACAGCTGCAGTTCAGATGTCTCAGCTCAGAGTTACTAACTGACGACTTTGTTTTAATGGCTCTTAAAGCCCACATTTTTTTTTGAAGTCTTGTTTGTGACTGGTTTTGCATTATGCTTGCTTGAGTGACGCTAATCCCAGACTTTATGTGCATATGAGTGTTTTGTGTTTACTTTCGTGCCAGCCTATCACAGTTTCCAGGGTGCTTGAGTTCCTGGGTATGAGTGTTATCTTGTGTTCAGCTCCGTGATCTTAAGGCATTACATTGTCCCGGGGTTATTATGTGATTGAGGCTGATTATGTGCATGCAGACAGTTTCTATCAAACTCAGTAGATCAAAGGGTTACCCTCCCCAATACACACACACACACATACACTCTATCCTTTACACTGCTCTCCTTATTCCTCTATCTCCCCCTCCACTCTCTCCACCCTTTCAACGAGGCAATAGCATGCTCTCTAATTTTTTCCAGATGTCAAGTACCTCCCTTCCCTTCCTTCATTTTTAACTCTCACAGGGTCGACTGAAAACCCGGAACGTTTTGCCCTCCTTTCCCCACTCCCCCCTTCCCCTCCTCCTCTCTTTCTCTCTCCCCCGGCTCATTCGACATGTTGGTTGCATCGACAAAACATGACCTCTCAGGAGGTCAGACAGGAGAGGCTCGAGCTCTCCCAAAGCAGAAAGGAATGTCTAAGCAAATGTGTTTCCCACATTGCATGATGAGATCTTGCAATCAGACGTTCAATCTGTGCTGTATTTCAGTGCCAGCTGTTTGTGAAATGCTCTTTTGCTTTGAATTTTTTTACCAGCACGTTTCTTTAAGTTGCTGCAACTGGAGTCTGTCTCGTCCATGTTTCCCTCCATCTTGCGCTTCTCGCTTACTTCCTGCTATGGGAACCACTTGGGGGTGTGTGCACGGGGATGTGAAGGGTTACAGGCATGGGGCCCAGGTGTTCCCTCCACTCTTATTCACTTTTATACATTAAGTTGCACCTAAAATGTGTCTGCATCGTCTTAAATCTCTTCGTCCTGTTACACAGAGGGGATATAATCTATTTCACCATCTCCCTCTTAAGTGCATAAACACACTCAGTCATCCACTCACAAACATATACAGGCACGCACACACCGTTAATACGAGTAAGCATGGACTAGATCCATGATTCCCGGCTAAAGCACTTAACGATCCCAGCAGCTGTTGCTCATGTAAACTCTCTCTCTCTCTCTCTCACACACACACACACACACACACACACACACACACACACACACACACACACACACACACAGTCCTCATCGCCTCTTCTCCTTTCCTAGGTCTCGCTCTCATTTCTTTATCCTTGCATATCGGTTCTCTAAGGCAACTATGACTTCAAATATAGACTTCACACAAAGAAACGCATACATGCTCCTAATCAAGCAAAAGTGCACACACAGATGTGTACAAGTGAGCCTACACATGCTTTCTAACTTTGCCACACACAGAGACAATCTGTTATCTGTTTGGACGATTTGCTATTGATTAAAGG